GTCGCTCCTGTCTTAGAGCCTAGCCTGAGTATTTCACATTCCCTTTTTGACATGAAAGAGATTCCAGAATTAAAGTTCCTATAGTAACGTGATTTCAGGTTGAAATTCAGGAGGAAAAAAAAAAATGCTCGTCTTACTGTGGTGTCAACGGCCCTTTGCGGTGAAGCCTGGCTCCAGCCACCCAGCACTGTTGGAGGAAAGCTGCCTGCCAGGGACAGCAAACACACGCTTTCTCAAGGAAGCTTTGATTGATTCCTCATGGATTAATACTTGAAAATTATCCTCAGGTGCTAGTGCTGTGGCATACCTGGCTAACCCGCGGTACAAACATCCCCACATGGATGCTGATTTGTGTCCCAGCTGTTCCATCTAATTTCCTACTTATGGCCTGCTTATGGGAAAGCAGCAGGGGATGGCTCAAGACCTGGGGTCCCTGCTCCCATAAGGGAGACCCAGAATAAGTTCCTGGCTCCTGGCTTCAGATCAGCTCAGCTCCAGCAATTGAGGCCACTTAGGGAGTGAATTAGTGGATGGAATCTCTCTCGCTCTCTGTCTCTCCTTCTATTTGTAACTCTGCCTTTCAAATAAAAATAAGCATATGTTTTTTAAAGAGAAAGTGATTCTCAACCAAGGGGTGGCCCTGCAGGGTAGATGCTGACCTATGAGTGAGGCCTGCATGGGTGTGAGCACAGGGCACAGGCAGGGATGGGGGTACCGGCCCCCTGGGTCTCACTGCCCTCAGAAGTATGCTCATACTTGTCCCATGTGTCAGCCGTATGAGATCCAAGGGAGCCAAGCAGCCCTGCCTTGAGGTGCGTTCAGGGAAGCAATGATTGAATTAACTAGTATTTGCAGTACTGGCCCACACCAGGTATCTTAATCACAGGAGTGTTAAAGTGCTGTGTTCCAAACAATCTACCAGATCCTACTCAAGGGAATATCTGATCTCCTTGAAAAGCCACCCAGAGAGCCCGATCTGTGAAGCAATGTGAAGTGAGATGCATTAGCCAACCAGGGTTCTCCACGTAGATAAAAAGTCTAAGTTCATTGCTCTGTTTAAGAACCGAGCTGAAGCTCAGGCCGGAGTGGGCAGTGTTTAGGCCAGTGTAGACCCAGGAGGAATGGTTATACTGTGGCTCCTGTCCCTCCGGCTCTGTGCTTAAAACTGGTGGTTGTTTCTATTAAAAGAGGTTCTATAAAACAACAACAAAACAACAAACACAACAACAACAAAAAAAACACTGGCCTCTCAGTTCACTAACTTTGCCAGGGAGCCCTGGGAGCCCAGCATATGCCCACAGCTCCACACGTGGTGGCATCCCTCGTTTTTTACTATAGCCCTAGGGAGAAGGTGCTCCTTCCTTCCTGCACGGGAGGAGTGCCATGCACACAGAGGTTACAAATGCAGCCAAGTCTCAGGCAGTAAACCTGGTACATTATACTCCAGAGTCCAAGCGTGACTGAGTGACAAGGGAAACAAATGTATTTGCTTTCCATCACCTTTCGCTCAATGGAAGGAAGAAATTAGAAATGATCAACCTAGGCACGAGAGACAGGAACTTCAGAGTTCGAATTTGAGGCCTAGCTCTATGGCTTCTTCATTTTAACCTATGAGGTCTTAGATAAACAATTACCCTCATTTTTCTCATCTGTAAGTTCACTTGTAGAACTTACTCATCTTCTTGTGAAGAGTTGGTGAGATTATAAGTGCAATTATTTATAAAGTGATTAGTAAACTCTGCCATAAACACTCAAAAACCCTGATTAATACTATTATTACTCTGAAAAACATATCTCCCTGCCCCAACCAGCTCTTAAAAATCAAAGACAAACTTGGTGAGTTATTATTATTATTATTATTAAAGGAGGCTCTCTGGAAAAAATATTATCTACTTTAGATGAAAATTACTGCCAAATAAATGTCAAATTTACTATGCTCCAAAAGCTTTTCCCATGGATTCACTTAGAGTTTTTCCACATGTCTGATTCTTTTTTTTTTTTATGACAAGCTATAACCAAATTCCATATCCTTTCTTTAACATTTAGCTTTTAAGGCCTGGCGCCGTGGCGCAAGTGGTTGGGGTCCTCGCCTTGCACGCCCGGGATCCCATATGGGCGCCGGTTCTATCCCAGCAGCCCCGCTTCCCTTCCAGCTCCCTGCCTGTGGCCTGGGAAGGCAGTCGAGGATGGCCCAAAGCTTTGGGACCCTGCACCCACGTGGGAGACCCGGAGGAGGCTCCTGGCTTCGGATAGGCATAGCATCGGCCGTTGTGCTCACTTGGGGAGTGAATCATCAGACGGAAGATCTTCCTCTCTGTCTCTCCTCTCTGAATATCCGCCTTTCCAATAAAAAAAAATAATAAAAATAAATCTTTAAAAAAAAAGATAAAATTTAGCTTTTATTTGAAATGCAATCGCAACAGAGAAAGAGGGACAGAAAGGAAGTGGGAGGGAAGGTGAGACACCCTCCATTCATCAGCTCAGCCCCACAATGACAGCTGAAGCTGGGCTGATAAAGAGCCAAGAGCCAGGAGCTTCCTCTAGGTCTCCCACAGGGCCCACGCACTCACGTCATTCTCCACTGTTCTCCCAGGCTCCAACACAGAGCTGGGCCAGAAGTGGAGCAGCTGGGATACACAGGGCTGCAATACGACACAAGGGGAGGCCCAGCCTGTCACATGACAGTGCCAGACCAAAATACCACACCTTATATTGCCTCAGTCTGAACACAGAGACCTTAAACATAATCCTATTGGATGATCTGTTATTTTATTAAAAAAAAAAGCCTAGGGTTTCTCCTTAAGCTTGTTCAAAAGGGTTACAATGACCCCATTGTTAAGCACTGCAATCAACAAGAGACAGACCACCTGGTGCTACAACTGAGCCATCAATTTATAAGACCAGATCTCAACCACTCAGGGTCACCATGACACCTTTCAAAAATAGACTGGTTATCATTCTCGAGGGAGTGTGTGTGTGTATGTAAACGGATAAATTTAGTTTAAGAAATTGACCATGCAACCATGGAGATTATAAATCCAAAATCTGCAGGGCAGGCCAGCAAGTAGAGACCCTGGCAAGGGCTGCATTTGGAGACCAAAGGCCATCTATCTCCCGGCCGAATTTCCCTTGCTTTGGGAACTCCATCTTTTCCAATTCAGGCCTTCAACTGATTAGATGAAATGCCATCATATAGGAGAGAGTAATTTGCTTTACTCAAAGCCTAATGATATGTTAGCCTAATCTTACAACAACAAAAATACTTCCCAGAAATATCTAAAATAATATTTGAGCAAATATCTGGATAGAATAGCTTAGTTGTAAAATAAAAAAAAGCAGCAGCAGCCACGGACTATTTTGTGCTATGGTGTTCCCATCCATAAAATTGCCTGCCACCTACACATCTCAGAAATTTACCTCAATGAATTCACAAAAATTCATCTCTCCCTTCAAGGAAAAGGAAGAGAACAGTGTATGAACTTACTGGTCAGATCACCTCATCAGTCTCCGAGCAATGCCTGCATCCGAATCTGTTCCAGCTTTTCTTACTATTCTTGCAACCCACACTGTAGTTTCAAATTCCCTAGGCCAATGGAACAGAAGCAAAGACAGGTGCAGATGTTTAGGAGAACAGAGAGGGAAAAGGGGAAGTCCATGTTTTCTTACTGGCTGCTGCAGAGACTCTTAATGAGACTCCATATGCTTCCACACAATTACACTTTATTTTTTTTTCCAGTGCCTGGTACCTGGAGATAAATGAGTGGTAAGTGGAAGAACTGCTGCTATCTCTGCTCAGACATTGTTTATGTTCACATGCGGCCAGAAGAATGAGCGACAGACACCAGGCACTATGTGATGAAACACAGTACCGCAGCTGCCAGGCTGGGAGAAGCAAATGAGATACAAGCTGCAAGCATGTTAGGATTTGTGAGAAATTTCTTCCACGTACTTGCCCAAATTGCCCAGCACCTCTCCCTTGTTCAGCTCTGGCCTTTGATGGAGCAAAAGTAGAAATGAGATGCAGGGAGAAGAGTGAGGTGTTGATATTCTGTTTTCTAAAACTGCTTCCCTGAGAGGTTGCGTCAATGGCCTTAACTGTGTCCCTCACCCCAAGTTCAAAGCTTCTCTCAGCTATGCTAGCTACCCTATCTTGATCCCTGATTGCAGTGGTAACCACTCCTCGGTGTTGCCAGCCTGGGGCCCTGTACCATGGTATATGGTGGCCCTTCTCCCTGCCCACACTCATGAATAGTCTCTTCATCAATAGCTCTTTAATTACTGATTTGAGTCAGCTCTGTTGTCTGCTGGGAATGGATAATATGGTCAATACACGTTAGCTCCCCCTCCCATTTTTGAGTAGTATAAAAACTATCCTCTAGGATATTTCTTCTTATAAACTAACTGAACAAATATTTTCTAATGTTACCTAATGTTCCTTAAGCAAATTTCACAAACCTGTATAATGTTTTCCTACTTGGACCCAAATTAAAAAACTAGTTTATCATGTTTGCTGAATTGTTTAATCTATAGTGTTTTCCTGTTTGTCCAAGCTTCAAGGAAACTCAGTGATTATGTCAGTAATTATTTCATTGAGAATTAGGTAATAATTAATTCTCCAGTACTTAAAACATGTCTTAAAACCAGTTTTCATCTTAATTTTTCCATTGTCTTCATCATTATTTTTTAATTTGACTAGACATATAAGTCCAGTCAGAGAAAAAATATCCTAGTTAATAAATATTCCAATATAAAAATCAAATCTGAATCAGGATAAAGACTACAAGAAAAAAGAAGCAAAAGTTCACAAGGTTCTATTTGAAAATAAGCCTCAGAAATGAGAGAAGGCAAGCCAGGAGGAATAGGCAAATCCACCATACACATCCCTGAGTCCACCTTGCAAGCTCAAAACCAGCCTCCTCTCTGCACCCACTGATGGCAACCACAGTATCTGTTTCTTCCCTAGCGGCTTCGAAGGACATTTGAGAATGACCTAGACTTACTCTTGGTGTGGAGCTCCTGTCTTGGTCAGCAAGGTCAGCACAAAAAACATAAAGATCACGAAGACTGCAAGACCAACCCAGAATCCAATCACAATGGAATCTGCAAGACAGTTAATCCTGAGATTAGTATTCCACAGCACTAGTTTAAAAGCTGAACATTCAAGCAATCTGAGTTGGCTGGAGAGGATTTGGTTTATGAAATATGAGAAGTCAACAGTCGGGTTCCTATTTGTCTGGAGACTGGGAAAATGCAGGAAATTAGAGGGAGAAAGAGTTACATGGTCCCTGGCTCATACAACACAAAATAACTTGGGTATTAGTGACCCTTCATTTCAAATATCTCAGCCATAGGTCACCTTTCAGATTTTACCTCACTCTCCTGAGTTGGAACAGACTGTGTTTGCAGAGACTGCTCTAAGGAGTTTGGAAACTATTCCAATCCCAACCAATTCAATTTTGCATTTTGTTTCTGCACTGGAATAATTCAAGTCCCCAGAAATTCTTTTTTGAAATTTAAACAATTTTCAAATCAATTTATTATCTTATTATTATTTTATGATACAGTTTCAAAGGCTCTGGATTTTCCATTCCCCTCCCCACATAGTGATTTATTCTCTAGTATTACAATGGGTAGTCCTTTATGAATAGTTGTAAGTTCATTATTCCACTACATGACATTGCATGGACAATGTCAGAGAGTTCAGCAACCTACTGTCAAGATGTATCTACCAGACCATCTTTGGTCTGGATGCAGAGAGACATACTACACTATGAAGTCCCCGGTAATTTTTGCAAAGAACACACAAGAGGGGCCCGGTGTGATGGCACAATGACTAAATCCTTTTTTTTTTTTAAAGATTTATTTATTTTTATTACAAAGTCAGATATACAGAGAGGAGGAGAGACAGAGAGGAAGATCTTCCGTCTGATCATTCACTCCCCAAGTGACCTTGACAGCCAGTGCTATGCCGACCCCAAGCCGGGAACCAGGAACCTCTTCCAGGTTTCCCACGCTGGTGCAGGATCCCAAAGCTTTGGGCCATCCTCAACTGCTTTCCCAGGCCACAAGCAGGGAGCTGGATGAGAGGTGGAGCTGCCGGGATTAGAACGGCACCCATATGGGATCTCAGCGTGTTCAGGCGAGGACTTTAGCTACTAGGCTACAGCGCCAGGCCCACAATGACTAAATCCTTACCTCACAAGTGCAGGGATCCCACTGGGACACCGGTTTATGCCCTGGCTGCTCCACTTCCTGTCCAGCTCTCAGTGGCTAGGAAAATGTGATTCCCTAAATGTTTGAAGCCCTGCATCCATATGGGAAATCTGGGGAAAGCTCCTGACTTAGGCTGGGCTTGGCTCCAGCTGCTGTGGCCATTTGGGGAGTGAAGCAGCAGATGGAAGATCTGTTTCTTTTCCTGTCTGTAACCTAATAAAAACATCTTTAGGAAAAACACACTCACACACATACAAGAACCCTCAGAGTGTTCCCCCAGTCAACCTTTCCCTGGGCTGTTTCCCTGGGCTGCAACTCTGATGGTGCTGCTCTTTCATGAAACAATCACCAACGGACACGGCCCAGAGTTCCTTCAGCGGACTGAAAGCTTCCCCCAAAGGAACCCTTTACTCAACGCCTGTCACCTGAGAAGCAGCAGCCACCTAGGTGCTCCATTCAAGTGACTGCCTTCTTTTCCTATCAGTCTTTCAAGCCCTGAGCCACAGCTTCCTCACATCCACAGCTTTACAGGGGCCCTTACCTCCACCTTGCCGAATGGCTTTCCTCATCTTAGCGCCAATGCATGGCTGTCCATTCTCCAAAGTCCATCCTGGACTTCACCTCTCTCCCCACACCTGCACTAACTTACCTAACGCATGTGATCTCCCTCCGTGCTCCTCTGTGCTTCTATACACATGCCATTTTTTCCTCATGCAACAGTTATTACAGGGCAGAGCCCAGAGTTATTAGTGATTTGGCTCATTACTTTATAATCTACAGTAGCATGAAAGTGAGACTCAAAAAAACCCACACATTGAGCAGTGATCCTTTCCTGATCTAGAAAAATATAGTTGGGGGATTCTTTGCAGGAGCAGTCACCTGTAACTCACAGTCAGCCTCATGATCGGGAGTGTGATTATTCAATGCTCCCTTTGATGTTCTGTAGGTTAGATGTATTAAATAAATTTTTAAAAAAAATTATTGGAAAGTCAGATTTCCAGAGAGAAGGTTAGACAGAGAGAAAGAGCTTCCATCTGCTGGTTCACCGCACAACTGGCTACGATGGCCAGAGCTGAGCTGATCCGAAGCCAGGAACCAGGAGCTTCTTCCAGGTCTCCCATGTAGGCATAGGGTTCTAGGCCTTGTGCCATCCTCAACTTCTTTCCCAAGCCAAAAGCAGGGAGCTGGATGGAAAGTGGGGCAGCTGGGACATATACCTGAACCCATATAGGATCCTGGTGTTTGCAAGACAAGGATTTTGCCATTATGCTACTGCACTGGGCCCTAAATCATTTTTTTAAAAGATGTATTTATTTTTATTGGAAAGTCAGATATATAGAGAGCAGGAGAGACAGAGAGGAAGATCTTCCGTCCGATCATTCACTCCCCATGTGGCTGCAACGGCTGAAGCTGAGCCAATCCAAAGCCAGGAGCTTCTTCCAGGTCTCCCATGCGGGTGCAGGGTTCCAAGGTTTTGGGCCATCCTCGACTGCTTTTCCAGGCCACAAACAGAAAGCTGGATGGGAAGCAGGCCTGCCAGGATTAGAACTGGCACCCATATGGGATCCCAGGGCATGCAAGGCGAAGACTTTAACCACTATATTATCGCACTGGGCCCCCTAAATCATTTTTAACTTACAGAATTTCAACATACAATGGGTTTGGAGGATGTAACTCCATCATCAAGGAACACATGCTTGTTTTCTTTGACAAGATTAGACCACGTTGTTTGTAGATCCTGGGATACCCACCTGAAGAGCCTCAAGTCTAGGGACAATGGAGTTGAATTTTTCTGCATTTTCTGCTGTATACTGTGAAGCTCTTCTTTATAGGAAACAGTGAGGATGATTAGCAATTTTAAAAAGGAGCTTATATATTAAATGCAAAGCATTATTCAAACCTAATTATGTATATCTAGCACTTTTCAAAAGTAAAAAATTCAGATTTGCAATGTACTCTGCATAAGTATTTTTATCCCACATATAACATCGCCTAGAGGACAACAATGTGTATTTAGCACATAGGACACAAAACCAATGTATCTTTTCTACATCTTAACCATAAATGACAAAGAAGCCAAAACTATAGACTTTGCCTTTTAATATTGTTAAAATGAGGCAAAAAAAAAAAAAAAGACATATGAACAAGTACCAAAAGTTATTCAAGAGCAACCAAGACTGGAAAGTGAAATCTCAATGATCTGGGCGTGGCCTGTGAAGAAACATCGTGTAGTTAAATAACAGGTCTGCACATTATACCTTATCTACTGTCTGCATGAAAAAAGCAAATCCTGAAATTTTACACCAATGTTATATGTAAGTCATTGATTCAGCACTTAATAGAATCATGGTGACTGGTATTTCTCAAATCTCTCTGCTAGGAAGTGGTTATGAGCTCATCTTTCACATTTGCAAAACTGGGCATGATCCCATCTGTTCCCTTCCCTAACCAACAGGTGGGTAGAAGCCAAAGAGGGAGGGCCTTTAAACTGTCCTGGATCACCCCCTCCTCTCCCAGTGAGATGATCAAAAAAGCAACAATAACAAGGGACCTACGAGGCTCAGGGTCCTTCCATCTATGTCATTGTGGGGATGGGGGCAGAGGACAGAGGACAGGGGTGGCTAGAATTTGAAAACCTTCGTGATCCACTAACACTATAAGCATCTCCTGATAATATGACATTCATTTTTCCCATGACAGTATATTTTTAGTAGTGCTGTGTCTGCTTCCTGAAATTATTTCCAGTAACTTCCCCTAACCACACCTTCTGTCATGTGCTCTTAATAAAACCTTGCACCTACCTAAACCTGACCTTTTTAAATATTTTTTTAAACAAGATTTATTTATTTTTATTGGAAAGTCAGATATACAAAAAGGAGGAGAGACAGAGGGGAAGATCTTCTGTCCAACGGTTCACTCTCCAGGCGGCTGCAACCGCTGGAGCTGAGGCAATCTGAAGCCAGGAGCCAGGAATTCTTCCAGGTCTCCCACATGGGCGCAGGATCACAAGGCTTTAGTTCATCCTCAACTGCTTTCCCAGGCCACAAGCAGGGAGCTGGATGGGAAGCGAGGCCACCAGGATTAGAACCGGTGATCATATAGGATGCTGGGCGTGCGAGGCGAGGACTTTAACCACTACGCTATCGCACCGGGCCCCCTAAACCTGATCTTGACTGAAGAGAACAAAAGAAGAGAAGTGAGAGCTGTGGATCCTTTGTTCTATGCATGCAAGTCATCCTCAAGGAATGGACCACAGCAATAGCCCATCTCACTCTCCCTCCTCTCCACCACCTCAGCATATATTGTAACATTCCAGGTACTACCGTATGAAGAAGAAGTTGGACTGCCATTTGAAAGAAAGGGTTCAGAACCCCGGAGCCAGCACTGTCCTCACCAATCCCTGAGATCTAATCTTAAGGTCACTTTTGCTGATGACCTCCAGTTAAGGAGTCTACAGTGGCAACCCCACTACTACTCTCAATGACACATATTTCTCCAAGCCTTTGTGAGCTTTAATTTTTCTCATCCTGATGGTTTAACTTCTTGCTGACTCATGGTGCACATATCTGTCATCCTCTGCCAAGCACAGAGCATGAAGCCTACCTGCCACTGTGTTCCTCGGACCTTGGTGCGGGGCCCTGCTACTGACTCATAGGCTTTTGTTTCCCTGAAGACACCCCATGTCATTCAGCTGAATCTTTCAAAAGTTATTAATTTCTCTTATCTTCTTTCAGGCAAAACTCTTGAGAGATTTATCTGTAGGTTGTGACTGTTAAATTTCATAAGCCTGAGATGATTAGAAATATATTCATTGAATTATTCCCTCTGCCAAGTAAGTCTCATCTTTGCTCACTTTATGATCCTTGTCATGAATCCCATGTGACATTAATATCTCTGCTTTGAAAAAACAGTATGTATGTAGTTAAAAATGACATTAAAAATAGTTTTTAACAAGCCTTCCACCCTTACCACTCCACTACAACTGTTTGTAAAATTAGTGCCACCTGCTCCTACATTGTAACTCTAGAGGTTGTACCCAGTGGTCTTCTTCTGTCTTGAGATGCAGCAGCCTTTAACACAGCCCAGTGTCTCCTCTATCAACATCCAGGAAACCACAGCTGCCCCGTTTGCCTCTCCCATGCCTGTCCATCCTCTCAGCCTCCCTATCTCGACTTTTAAACATGGGTGCACCCAAGGCTCAGTACACTTCAGCTTTCTATCTACATTCACTCGTCCTGTACCCTGGCCTTCCTCAACACCTCTCCCCAACCATGCCCTCTTAGGTGTCTGATGAGTATGTCAACTGAACGTGTCCAACACAGGGTATGTTGGAGTTGCTCTCTGAAACCTACTCTTCTTCATCTAACAGGAATCCTAACCTACCATTTCCTCAGGTTACAGATCTACAAACCATCCTTGGTGCTTCTCTTTCTCATATACCTCTGTGCCAACTCATTGACCAATCTTGTCAGACCCATCTTTCAAAAATATCCAGAACTTGTGTTCATCTCACCATGCTGCTGCCCTCTCCCTGATCCTAGCTACCATCGTCGGCTGCCTAGACCTGCAATAGTTTCTGCACTGGCCTCTGCATCTAATCTCATCCTTTCATCCCCCAGCTGTAAAGTCATCCCATGGAACCTCAGATGCCACCTCTCTGCTCGAACCTCTCAAAAAACTTCTCACAGGTCCGGCGCCGTGGCCTGATGGCTAAAGTTCTTGCCTTGAACATGCCCCGAGATCCCATATGGGCACCAGTTCTAATCCCGGCAGCTCCACCTCCCATTCAGCTCCCTGCTTGTGGCCTGGGAAAGCAGTTGAGGATGGCCCAAAGCTTTGGGATCCTGCACCAGTGTTGGAAACCTGGAAGAGGTTCCTGGTTCCTGGCTTTGGATTGGCACAGCACTGGTTGTCACGGTCACTTGGGGAGTGAATGATCGGACGGAAGATCTTCCTCTCTGTCTCTCCTCCTCTCTGTATATCTAACTTTGTAGTAAAAATAAATAAATCTTTAAAAAAAAAAACTTCTCAGAGTAAGAACCAAAATTCTTAACATGACGTAAAAAACCTTTCAAAGCTCAGACCTATACAACCTCTTTCATATGGTCTCCTCCTGCTCTGCCCCTTTCCTCCTAACATCATGCGTGCCTGCTTAGCATCCCTTGCAGGTTCAAGGTCACTCTTACCATAGAAGTTTTTCTGGAATGTTCTTCCCTCAGAAGTACTATAGTTTAATATCTAATTTCTTTTTTCTAGACCCCTCCTCTTCAGCAGGTGTTCCTGGTGACTGTCCCTCTTCTTTCCCCCCATTTCCCACTCTTTTCTGACATTTTTAAGCCATCATTTAACATAGTATTTTAGTAAGTCTCTCCCATGAGGATGTAAGTTCTGTAGAAGACATGGTTTTTATTTTGTCCGTTGAATTCACTGTTATATTCTAGTGCTCATGGCAATGTTCTTCATTAAAGATGTTCAAGAAACAAAAGGAGCCTTCAAGAAGTTCATGGAAATGTGCACAGACAAATGAATGAAATTTCATTCTCCTTGTGCAAATATTTGTCAGATATAAGTCCACTTCTGATGTATCATAGTTTTTAATACCAGATAGATAACTGGTGGCAAAAGAAGAATTCACAATGACATTCGAGGTTGTTTATTAGACAAAAGAAACTTGGAAGGGAGAAATAATTTCAAAACTTATTTAACTCATTTATATTTTGCTTAAAGGCAGATAGAGAAAGGATGAGATCACTGCCAAATGCTGGTTCACTCCCCAGATGCCCCCACAACAGCAAAGGATGGACCAGGCTAATGCCAGTAGCACTGGAACTCAATCTGGGCTTTTCATTTGAGTGAAATACTTATGCCATCACCAGCAGCCTCACAGGACGCCTGTTCATAGGAGGTTACAATCAGAAACAGTTAAGACTAAAACTCAGTTTAACATACGATGCAGGTATCCCAAGCAGTGTCCTAAATACTGGGTCAAATGCTCATGCAGAGAGAAGGGGATATTAATTTCAGTTGACAGAGGAAATTGGTCTAAGGATGTAGCCACTACTGCCCACTATGATCCGTTACAAGTAAAGCAAGTGAAGATAACTGTTAGGGTCTTTGTTATCCTCATTAAACACTTCCCTTGAAATGTCTTACTTCTATTCTTCGAAATCTGAACATAACTGGATTTACATTTTTCTTTAAAAAAAGCAATCATACTTAAAGGTCAAAATCACAGCCACCTTTCAATGGACAAGATTGTTCCAATGTACACATGAAAATGGTTACATAATGTTTCCATTTTCCTGTACATCTGGGGTTAGTTTTCTGTTCTTTCAGCCTGTCCATCTATCCATCTATTGTCAAATACCTAAAACTAAAGGCCTCCACCTCATTTAGGTCTGTTAGATCAGAACACGGTGTGTTCACTAGGACATTTTTACTTTTTCATGTGAATGTTAAAACAAAAGCAATGCCTACTAATGATATAGTACATAAAATAATGTGTATCATCTCTTCCTACATTTTGACTTTTTCGCAGCTGTAATTATTGCTAGCACACAGCAGACTGAAAACAGATTTTCCTCACAAGCATTTATCTGAAGTCCCTGCTTAGAATGTTTATTGGAGTGCCAGTGTTGAACTCAGGTTCTGTTCTCCAATCCAGTTTTCTGCAAATGTGCACCCGAAGAGGCAGCAGGTAATGGCTCAAGTGCTTGAATCCCTGTAATGTACATGGAGACCTGAACTGAGTTCCAGGAGCTTGGCCCAGTTCCAGTGCTTGTGGCATTTGTGTGTTTGTATATATGTGTGTCTTTTCCAGTGTCTCTTTGCCTTTAAAATAAAAACAATTTTTTAAAAGCTTCAAAAAAATAGGTGCTTAAGCATACGACATAGGGGGATAAGCCACCATCTGCAACACCAGCTTTCTATATGGGTGCCAGTTTGTGTCCCAGCTGCTCCAATCTCCATCCGGCTTACTGCTCTTGGCATGAGAAAAGTAGCAGAAGATAGCCCAAATGTTTGGGCCCTGCCACCCACATGAAGGTCCCAGGTGAAGCTCCTGGGTTCATCCTAGCCTAATCCTGGTTATATGGGTATTTGGGAAGTGAACCAGTGGAGGAGAGATCTCTTTCCCACTCTCTGACTTTCAAGTAAGTAAATAAATCTTTTTAAAAAAACTTGAACAGATTTCCCTCAATTGTCTTCAGAAATGCTCCCACCAAAATTAAAGCAGCAGCCTTGCCTTCTATTGTCCCTACACTGAGGGAAAAAGAGAGGAGTGAATGGGCACACTGCTAAGGCTGAGATAAAGCCCACTTTACAGAGACACATGTGAAAATTGACCTGGTCGTTTTGAATTCCATCATAATTCATCACCAGCCAGTGCCCTTACCTAAAGTTTATCCCAGAAAGACATCAGCTTAAAGAGTATAGGGAAGTAAACAGGGGAGAATTCACACCCCACCTGCAAGGCCTTCCATCAGATCATCAATGACAGTACATCCCAAGGAACTCATGTGCATTTTCCCCCATAAAACACTGAGCAGCTGTCAACAAAGAAGTGAGCAGAAGCACATAATTATTGCTGTTTATTTTAGGCAGAAAGGGAATGTGGTTCCGTTCATAATTTTTGCTTAAGGAACAAAAATAGAAAATCCTGCTTGAAGGGAACAGTGGGTAGGTGCAAAAAATTGTGAATACCAAGGAAGATCAGAGTGGGAATCAAGCAGAAGAACAAAAGCCTTGCATTTGTTCCATCTGCATCTCACACTCCAAGCTCCCACATTTCCTAACACAACACATGATTTTATGATTTTTTTAAGACCCCTCATATTATGGGGTAATCAAGACAGGATCAGGGTAGATGAGAGTTCCTGTCTCTGATAGCAGCTCTACTTAATGAAGATGCTCCATCTTGGCCACTCAGCCTTCAGTTATGACCAGGGCTGAAAAGTAACCTCACTCAGAAATGCATTTCCTAGTTCTGCAATGGAACACTAACCACTTTCAACAAAAGACACCATTCATACCTTTACCAATGCTAGGAATGACTGCAGGCTAGTCTCATTTGACATTAGGAAAACACACACTGCTTGCCACAGCTCTGGAAAATGAATGAGGTTGAAAAAATACTGTTGACTGTGTGCCACAAAACAGTTCTTCAAATAGTTCCAGATCCTATTTGTGTACATATTTTTCATAGTTCAGACATTCACAGTTTGGTGGAGCAGGAATGGTTAATATTTTGAAAAACTTCTGTGTTTGATGGTTATTCACAGCCCCCCCACTAAAAGAATCTTTTTAATACTTCATTAATCAGAATCATCAAGGGCCCCACATAATATAATCCTGGGAAATCTTCCTTTGTGTGGAGATGGTGTATTGTGGGGTTTTAGAGTAAAGAAAAGAGTTCCATAAGAATACATAATATTCAGAAGTAAATCACTTGGTAAATCATGTTTACAATGAAGAATTATCTAGAACTTACATTTATGAGCCTTCAGTCCTTCAAAGGAAACCGGTCCAATCTCATAATACTCATACTCCCAGGTGTAATCAGAATTAGATGAAGATTGCTGGGAGGTCCTGTTAGAAATTAACCGCTGCGCAGACATCTCCACCTTGCACAAATGGAGAAAAGCAAATGTAAAACCTGTTAATTCAGCCACCCCTGCACAGTTACCCGAATGACTCTTGACCCCATTCAATCCTGGGTAAAAAGGCCTCAGAGAGGTCCTATTGTTAAACTAGGGTGGGGCTCTCGTTGGCTCCCATTGGCTCCCATGTGGCCACAATTACATTTTATCTCTCTGCTAGACCAGAATATTTTTTAAAAAGATTTATTTATTTTTATTGCAAAGTCAGGTATATAGAGAGCAGGAGAGACAGAGAGGAAGATCTTCCATCTGATGATTCATTCCCCAAGTGACCACAATGGCAGGTGCTGCACCAATCCAAAGCCAGGAGACAGGAACTTCCTCCAGGTGTCCCATGTGGGAGCAGGATCCCAAGGTTTTAGGCTGTCCTCAACTGCTTTCCCAGGACACAAGCAGAGAGCTGGATGGGGAATGGAGGCTGCAGGAATTAGAACCGATGCCCATATGGGATCCTGGCACATTCAAGGTGAGGACTTTAGCCACTATGCCACCTTGCCGAGCCCCAGAATATTTTTGATATAAAACACCATATCTGTTTTTGCGTGTGAACTTAACCCGATGCCTAGCATAACCAATGTTCAATAACTGATGATCAGAAAAGGGAAGGAAGGAGAGTGTGTCAGAATCTCTGACTTTGACAACTTCAGCTTCACCACCTGTATTTGCATATGTATATGATTCTAATTGTTGCAGAGAATTAAAAAAATATTCTGCTATTATTTTTTTTAAATAAAGCTTTACTTATTTATTTTCACCAGCTTAAAAGGCACTATGGGGCCCGGCACCGTGGTGCAAGTGGTTAAGGTCCTCACCTTGCACGCCCAGGATCCCATATGGGCGCCAGTTCTAATCCCAGCGGCCCTGCTTCCCTTCCAGCTCCCTGCCTGTGGCCCGGGAAGGCAGTCGAGGATGGCCCAAAGCTTTGGGACCCTGCACCCACGTGGGAGACCCGGAAGAGGCTCCTGGCTTCGGATTGGCCGTTGCGTTCACTTGGGGAGTGAATCATCGGACGGAAGATCTTCCTCTCTGTCTCTCCTCTCTGTATATCTGCCTTTCCAATAAAATAATAATAATAATAATAATAATAATAATAATAAATCTTTAAATAAAAAAGGTACTATGAAGGAGGAAGGAAGGAGGAGAGGAAGAGGGAGAAAATGGGAAGAAAGAGAACCAATAGCCACTTTTACAATCTCCAAATGTACACAGCAGCTAGGTCTGGGGCAGGGTGAAGTCAGGAGCCCAGAACTCCATCCAGGTCTCCCACGTGAGCGGTAGGGATCCAAGAACTTGAGTCATCATTTGGTGTCTCATAGACACAGAGCAGGAAGCTGATCACAAGCACAGGATATAACAAAAAAGAAATTTAGGAAGTCCTGAAAATATCTCTTGACCATTTTTTACTCCTGAAATTCGCTGATCACAAGCTGTTGTATGACTGAGGACCTGGGCAAACAATTCCTCCAAAAGAAGAAAAGAATGTGCCATTTCCCATTGGTGAAAGAAAACTACAAGGACTGTAAGACAGGCTGACCTTTCCTTTATGTAAGCATTCAGTTACCTTTCCAAAGTGAGCACCAGAAAAAACATAAAATCCCTATCACAATATTGTCTCTGGCCTTCTTATTATTTGAGTAAGAGGCTATTTCCCTCAACAACAAAATCAATTTCCTCAGGAAATGAAAATTAACAACTCGGCCCTAGGAGGCACTGTCCTCATTTATAAGCACTTGCCCCAGACCTGTGAGAACAGGAGTGGCTCTTCAGTTGCGGGGTTCAGAGATACAGGTTGGATAAACACAAACATAATTGCTCCTAGTAAATGTAAAGGATTTCACAGTATAGAGGAAAGGGCTTTCAATCTGAAATCAGAAGACCGGGTTCTTAATCTCTGCATTACCTCCACTTGCTGTGTCACCAAGCAAGACACACCATCTCTCCCACGTTTCCCTCAACTGCAAAACTGATCTTCACTGACGATGGAGAACCCTGTTGTCATGAAATGGTTCTGCTGCACTGATGGACACCATCATCGCCCATGAGCCCCCCAGCATCCTAACTGGAGTTTCTACTTCTATTCTTACCCCTGCAACCCACTTTCTACTCTTAAACCAGCATTCCTCTACAAACTGTACTTATCACTTTTTTGCTTAACATGTACATAGATTTCTACTGCTATAAGGTCAAAGTCCAAATGTTGGAAAAGTCTGCATGTTCACCATCCACTTTTCTTTTATTGAGCCTGATAAGCTTGGGCCACATTTATTGTGTCCTCGGCCCTGCACACAGGCTGCCCCCACTGGCACAACTGCTCTGATCAATCTGTTGGCTATCTCCATTGTCCTTATGGAGTCTGCAAGGCAACAATATATTTTACATTTTAAAATGGTTGAAACAAACAAAAGAATAGTATTTCACAACGTAAGACCATTCCATGAAATAAAAATACAAGAGTCTAAAGTCCATAAATAAAGTTTTATTGGGATAGAGCCCCCCGACTTATTTCTGTATTTTCAAAGAATCCTTTTGCTTTACATCATTAGAATCAAATGTTTTATGACAGAGATGGTATAACTTCAAAAGTTTAAAATATGTGCTTTCTTCTACAGAAAATATTGGCCAATCCCTGCCATGAAACCATGAAATGTAAATGACTTGAGTTGCAATTTTCCCACTAGAAAAATAAAGATAGTGATTTATGCCTACTTCATGAGGGTACTGTACAGATTAATTATGATGCTGCATGGATAATGAATAGCCAAGAATTGAGTCTTGTAATTTTTTTTCATGTATTTGGAAGCCAGAGATACAGAGAAAGAGAAACAGAGTGAGATCTTCCATCCACTGGTAACTTCCACAATGGCCAACATGGAGGAGGCTGTGCCACGCTAAAGCCAGAACCCTGGAGTTTCTTCTAGGTCTCCCATGCGGGTTCATGGGCCCTAGAATTTAGGTCATCCATTGCTGCTTTCCCAGGTGCAGTAACTGGGAACTGAATTAGAACAGCTGGTTCTGGAATTGGTACCCATATGGGATGCTCGTATTACAGGCAGTGGTTTAATATGCCCAAGTTCTGATCAATAAAGAGTAGCCATCCTTTGGATGATCGTGATTAGCTAAGATGCATTGGCCTGGAACATAAAGTCTAGGTTTCTTTTGATACTACCAATTTCTGGGTCAGACATTTCCTACCAATTTTATCAGGAGTTTCTTCAGTCTATGCGGTTTAGACAAATAAGATTATAATATAAACAGCTTAAAGATATTAATGCAGATTGCTTGGAAGTTATATTGATCAATCCTCAAATCTGTGCTGTCCAATCAATCCAAAAATTATTAACTTTCTTTTTTTTTAAAGTAAGATGAAGCTAGATTTTATATCATTTTTATTAAAAATCAAAATGACAGCCAATGTAATAAGCGGAGCACAGGAGGTATAACAATTTGTCAAGAACAGAAAAAATTAAAAATAAATAAATTAGAGAAGAAATTAAGGATGTAGTGTCACCTAGTCTTTAAATAGAAAGCCACAAACCCAAGAGCTGCTCTCTCCCAAGCCTCACCTGCTCTCCATACCTGTACACAATGTTAATTCCTACTCAGTGGCTGTCAAGCTCCAGTGAACCAGCAGGTCTCCCCAAGGTTTTATTAAGTCAAAAAGAAATAGTGAAAGATAAGGACTTTAAATACAAGAAGTACACAGACCTCCAAATAGACAAGATCAGAAAATACCTTGGGGAAATTCCAACATGGCTAAATAGCCACACTAACTTCAGTTATTCTGGGATATTAAAAAAAAAAAAAAACAGGAAGGACCATATTTCCAGGGGTGTGACTGATCAAAATTTCTGTGAAGAAGTGAAAAAAAAAAAAAAGAAGACGACTCTATGGTACAAGTGAAGAGAAAGACACTGCTGTAGTCAGCCATGGAGTGTAGCCAGCTGCCAGCTGCCATCAAACCATGTCAAGGCAGAAGTGACTGCCAGGTACCCTGCCACTTGCACTTTCAGTTGAGAGGGAAGTCCACAGTCACTCTCACATCACCTTATGGCGCTGACTGTAGTCTGAGCAAAGTCTGGGAGTGGAGCAAAGAAACTGCCTTGCTTTCTTTTTTTTTCCCCAACTCCCTCAGAGTGCAGGGGAAAAAGTCAGGCAGTTTGCTTCTGTTCTGTCCCTAACAGCATCAGTCATGGTTAGGAGACACATTCACCCTGGAGAGAGGTAAGAGGAGTCTGTGGCAACTTGTGTCACTGCTGATATTCCCCAAGGCAGAACTTTGCAGTTCACAATAACTTTGAGCACTAACTTAGGGCAGGCTGCTGACCTGGCCCCAGGGAAAGTTCACTGCCTGCTTCCCTTTCCTGTCCCCTTACAGGTGCTCCCAGCACCTAGAGCCAGGAGGTGCCATCTTGATAAAGCAAGTGTAGGCTGTTATAGCTCAAGTGCGTGCACATCTTGGGGATTTTAGCTGTGAGATAAATGGATGCTCCTCACTGACTTCTGAATCTGGCCTGGAGGATTGGCAAGGCGTACACACTTAAGCCTGTGAGGCACTCTCCTTTACTCCAACATGATGACCATAATCAAACTCTTCAAGGTGGAACACGAACAGGGAGTAGGCTCTACCTGAACGGAGCATGCTCTTAGGACTCACAGTGGATCCCCCTCTCCCTGTAACTGCGGGAGTGACATGTGCTGTGATTGTGGGAATTCTTTACACAATAAAAAGTGGGATGTCATTGCAAAAAAAAAATAGCATGAGGAAAGGATTACAATTACAGAAGAAATAAACAAAATTGAGCCCCTGCCCCCTCTTCCCCAACTGTACAAAAGATCAGTGACACGAAGACCTGGCTTTTTGAAAAACTAAATAAAATTAATACATCATTGGACTAACCAACCCCCAAAAATGGGGGGCGGGAGGGGGAGAGAAGACCCACCTGAATATAATCAGAGATG